TATATATATAGAGAGAGAGAGAGAGAGAGAGAGAGAGAGAGAGAGGAGAAGTGAAAGAATTGAACAAGGCAGGAAACAAGTGGCATGCATGCATGCTTTGTTTCAGACCCCATCCCACCTCTCTTGCTAATTTGCTATTTATAGACATGTGTTGATTCAAGGATATATCTTTTCTTTCACCTTCCATCTCCATCTTTTATCGAATCGCTTCAGGAATCTCAAAATCAATAGTTCCATTTCCATACCACATCTCTCATCTCAATCAATACGGTTTTAAGTTTTTTTATTTAAGGAGTGTTTGGGATTGCTTATTTGAAACAACTTATAATATTCTATAAAAACACTTATCAACTTATTATAAGTCAGAAGCGTTTTAACTTTTTTAAAAACTCCTTATTACCGGTATAAATTGTTTATCTAAACATTCAAAAATGCTTATTACCGGTATCACACTGGAATAAGTCAATAAGTTGTTTTTATAAGCAATCTCAAACATCCCCTTAAACTGTTCAATTAACTCAATAAAAATAAATTATTTGGTTCTATTTTCCATTTTTTTTATTTTTTCAGATATCAATTAAACTTGTAATAATATTAATTAATACATTTTAGTATTTGGGTTAACCTTAAAACAAGCATGGAACCGGGAGGGAATGATAAAGTTAATTTTAATTTATTCAACAAAACTTTTAACCAAGTCTCTTTTACTTTTACTTTTACTTTTACTTTTACTCCTCATTAATTTTTCTTCTACCAACAAACACCCAAAACTTATTATTGTTTCATTATCTTAATACACACATCTACATGGTTGATAATTATTTAATAATTATAATAACATTAAATGATGGGTTGTCATTCACTCTTTGCGACTTGTGTTGGTTGTTGCCTTTAAATTCTACTGCTTCATTGTTTCTCAATTTGTTTTTTTTTATCTTATTTAAAAAATAAATAAGATCTAATCAATATATTATAGTAGCAAGACAACGTTAATATATATATATATATATATCTATCTATATATATATATATCTATATATATATATATATATCACAACCACTCTTATTTATTTTTAGTTGATGTGTATAGCAATTTGGTATGATCAGCTTTGGTAGACATGAATGTAAGGCCACCATCAAATTCGAGCAGCGGTAGCACAACTGTCAATGATAATGAATGCCTTGTTCGAGAACAAGACCGACTCATGCCAATAGCAAATGTTATTCGTATCATGAGAAAGATCCTCCCTCCTCATGCCAAGATTTCAGACGAGGCCAAAGAGACCATCCAAGAATGCGTTTCTGAGTACATCAGTTTTGTCACAAGCGAAGCCAATCACCGCTGCCAACGTGAGCAGAGGAAGACTGTTACCGCCGAAGACATCCTTTGGGCAATGAGCAAATTAGGATTTGATGATTACATCGAGCCATTGACTATCTACCTCCACCACTACAGGGAGTTTGACTTCAGGGCCACTATTACTGATCATGTCAAGAGGCCTACTCACGATCCTCCACCTGCAAACTCCTTTCATCATGCTTTTGCAACTGTTTTTCATCATACTGGATTATTTGGCACTGGTCATTTCTTCAATGATCAACCTAAAGTACTAGTCCCTTCCAGGCTACCTTCTGCTGCTACTGTTGCTGGATTTGAGCCATATGCTCGATGTAAAGAGTAGTTGCCTGCCAGATTCATATATAATCTATATATAATAGGTATGATGTTTGTCAACTGTTTTTTTTTCTTTTCCAGTGATGAGGGATATATATATATAATACTATGAATCACTACTTTCTCAAATCTCTATTTGATATAATAGGTATGATGTTTACAAGGTATATATGTAAACAGTTGGAACATACATGACCATTTGCTCCAACCAATCTAAATCTATGCTAAGATATGATATCATATACTAAACATGTTAAGAAGAAACTAGAAGAGTACTCGTCCAATGCAGCAAGATACATCTCGATTTTAATGTTTTGTTTTTTTTTTGTCTCAATTGATGTTATAATACGGTTTTATGTGGTTTTGAGAAAGTAATAATTTTTTATTTTTAAATAAAATATAAATATGAAGATATCATAAAAAATTGAAAAAAAATATTAGTATTAGTGTCAAACTAAGTATTTAAAATTTCTTTTTTTTTGTGTATTTCTTTAATTCATTTTTTTATTTTAAGTTTAATAATATAATTTTTTTATAAAGATGACTAGAAGCGTACTCGCGCAATGCAGCGAGATACATCATGATTTTAATATTTCATTTTCTTCTTTATCTCAGTCGATAATATAATATGGCTTTATGTGATTTTGAGAAAGCGATAATGTTTTTATTTTTGAATAAAATATATGTTTGAAGATATCATAAAAATTTGACAAAAATATATCGATATTAGTAT